ATCCAAGGTGTGATTAAAAGCCCCATAAATGATCCACCAGAAATGGGAATGAAGAGTTCCCTAGTTCTAGGGAAAGGTTAGTTCCTCCAGTAGAGCCTCTCTTTGCAGCTGTATCCTTCTTAAAGGGGACACCCAAAATAGGTTTCTCCTGTCTGCCCCTTTCTGAGCTGACCTGGCTCTCTTTTAAGTTCAGAAGCAGCAGAGCGAAGTCACCTGTGCCCAGGATGGCTCCTTAACCCTTTCTTTGCCAGTTTGGGGTTTAAACACACCAGTGTATACTTTACGTATTAATTGTTTTGAAGGGAGCTGTTAGGATATAGATATTTCAGCCTGCCTGTTATGGCCTATACTTTAAGAATTTGGGTGCATTTTTACAGGGATATAAAAACAAAGAATTAAATTACAGTTTATTTCTATATGATACAGGTTGAACTTCTCTAGTCTAGCACTTTCTGGTCCAGCATCATCTGTGCTCCAGCATGATTTTAGTTAGCCAGATGTCCACTTATCATGGGTGTGGCCAAGTTTACTGCAGTCCCATAAAGTTGGTTTACAGCCACCAGTCCTGGCTCTCAGAGTTCTGTGCTGTTATTTAACTCTAATTTACCCATAAATATCTTCTAAGAGACCAGTGAGCAGTGGAACTTTTGGTAACACTGCTAGACAATATTGACCTCCTGTGATTCAGCAAATTCTCTGGTTCAAGATGTTCAACCTGTAGTCTGAGGCGTTGTTCTTAAGCTAAGGATTTTGGCTAAGCAGCAAGGGCATCCATAAGATAGGAAATGTACAGTAATGTACTGACCTATTCCAAACCAGTTATGTTAAAATAAGCCAATTTAGGGCTGTTAGAAAGATGATCCAACCTATTGCCTCCAGATAAAGAGAAGGACCTAGATGATTTGAAGGAAACTTAGGCTGATAGCTTTCTGTTTGGCAAGGACCCATTTATTCATAGTTGGGGTTGTGACATTTTTATTTTGTGTTATTATGCCTCCTTTGTATTGTTTATTTGTATTGATTTTGTTTGGTTTTTAAATTGTTTTTGTTTGCTGTATAATTAATTTTGCTGGATGTAAACCAGTTAAGGTGATGGAATATAACTGGTTAAATAATTAAATTACTGTAATTCTTGTGCCACATAGCGCCAGCAGCAGCAAGGTCTGGGTTCACTATCTAGAAGCTCTTCTCCATCCATCCAACACATAACTGGCTTGAGCACCCACCCAGTAACCTGGGAAATTCACACAACATCCCTGGGTGTCTCTGGAAGGCAATGATTCTCCACTTATAAGCACAGAGTCTGAATATAGAAAAGAAACCTTTAACAAAAGGGGAGGGAAGTAACGTGGCATTAATTTGGGAAACCACCACAAAAAAAGTTCATAACCAAAACTACGAGTAAACATCCCAGCTCAAATAGGTTGGGCAATGTCCTTTTCCTCTCAAGCTCTCAAGTCCAGCAATGTAAGTGTCCCATTCACATGCTCTTGTCCATACCCTTTACACAAGGGAGCCTTGTCTATCCGAGGTTCTTTACACTGACAGTCTGTCTCCTTTTGAACTGAGTTAAACAGTCTGATTTCTCTGCATTCCCACACTAACTGCAAGCATTGAGAATCATATCTCACAATTCCTGCATTTAGTGTTGACACAGTTTGTGACCCCACAATATCCAAATTGTTTACAATGGGCAAAACACTATTCTAACAGCTGAATATTTAGCAGGCCTAAGCAAACTGAGTGAACTATGTTTATATCCACAGACCCAGACTCTCATTCTTTAAACTGAGAGTTTGTGCCAGGTTAAGCCCAGGTTTTCTTCTTTTGGTATTCCCTCTAAAATTACAGACATTGCAATTAATATTGCCACAATTTGTGACACAATACCAGCCAAGTTGATTACAATGAGCAAAACACCACTCGGTCAGCAGAATATCTAACACATCCAAGCAAAGCAACAGCAAACTGTATTTACATAGACATATCCAGGGTTTCTCTCCCATTCCAGCTGGATGTAATGGAAGCATTCATTCATTCAGACACTGCTTATATTACAATAAGTTAAAACTGGTTAGTTAAATTTCAATAGAATAATTAGTTAGGATATAATTAAAAATATTACTATAGACATTAAAAGCAAACAAAAGGTAAATTAAACCCCCTCAAAACAAATAAATCCTGAATTCTTACTTGTTGGAAGCTAACGCCAATAAATATAGAATTGTTTGCATCTCTGGACTTCAGGTATTGCTGTTCTCTGGTCACGCGAGAAAGACAAGGGAAATGGGAGAGAGAAGAGATATGCCCTCCAATATCTTGGTGCCATTTCTCAGATACATCACATCATACTTCAGGTATTGCTGTTCTCTGGTCACACGAGAAAGACAAGGGAAATGGGAGTGAGAAGAGATATGCCCTCCAATATTTTGGTGCCATTTCTCAAATATATCACATCAGACTGATGAATAACAGCCTGTAAATCTCCCTCCCACAAATCTGCACAGCTGGTTGGAAGGGGTTACTATGTTGGACTCTCATGATGGAAGTTATGGGTTCTGGCAAGCCAGGGTAAAGGCATATGGAAGAATCAGGATCCATTTCAGGCAGGGGGGGTCATCCTGAGATTAAAAGGGAAATGGAGGTAGTGTTAGTGGATCCAGAGGATGAATGTGGGCAGAGACACTCTCCTGGGTATTTGAGTAGCGGAAGAAGATCTGTGACTATGGGGACAGGGTGCCTTCCAGGAAAAGGAGGCACTGCAGCCTACAGGTAAGAGATTTGAAATAAAGGCAAATGGGAAGCTGCCTTTCAAGTTCTAGGGCTGCTGAAGGATAGTGGATTAAAGTAGGGTGTCATTAAAATAATTTGGCACAACAGGGTTTAGAGTCAAAAGCAAAGTTAACAGACCATATAAAGAGATAGGAGCTAGCAATTGGTCCTAGAGAAATAAAAAAAAGTAAAAAAGCAAAGTTAACAGACCATATAAAGAGATAGGAGCTAGCAGTTGGTCCTAGAGAAATAAACAAAAAGTTTCAAAGTAAAAAAGTCAGGATTTGCAGGAAAGATAACAACCCCCACTCTTTTCCCAGAGCCGGGACAAAAACCTGGGGGTAAGAATTCCTAACTGTTCAACACACAGGGTCCTGCTCTTGGTGCTGAGCTAACTGCATCTTTCACCAATAAATATCAAATTGTTTGCATCTCTAGAATTTGAGTATGGCTGTTCTCTGTTCATAGGAGAACCGGGGAAGTGGAAGGGTGAAGGAATAAGCCCTCATAAAGGAGCTAAGTAGTAATTTAGGGAGACCGAATTCTCTGAGGTGTCAGTCCACATAGAGTATAGGTCTGTAATGAAACCCCCGGTCCAATCAATAAGCTGTAATAATGGCCTTGATACTCCTTTGAGAAGGGCTTTCAGCTAATGGAACCATGGAAATAGTGGTCTCTGTCCTACCCCTGTGTTTTTCCTTTGTACCTTCATATATGGTACTAGCACAGAGACCACTTCCTTGATGTGCAGGGGCTGTAAAATAACTTTACGTTAATAGAACAAGATTTGGCCATCGATAGTCTGCAGCCACAGTCATGTCGTGTGGATTGCCTAACACCAAGGAATGAAGTCACGGTCCCATTGATGTCAGTGAAAGTTCTGCTATTGACTTAAGTGAGCTAGGATTTCACCCAGGCTGCCTATGGCGCAGCTATTATAAGATATTATATATCACATGGAATCCTGGGGTGCCTCTTATTAAGGAGCTACTACTATGCATGTGCAGTGAACATATATACTTTTAAACTTCAACATCTTGGCCCTCTGAACACTTTACAAGTTGTTGTTCCAGAAAACACCAGAGGAGCCTAATTCTCATTGATTCACTAGCCTGTTTTAAACATAAAAATATAGAAATGTTAAGCAATTTTTAAACTAATAGCACGCCAAAGACAAAATAGAAAAACCCAGCACTTCATCCTGGCTAACTGAAATTTGTCTGCCCTTTTATAAGAGAAAAGACTGAACTTATAACAACATATTTTTAAAAAATCAAATAATTCTCCTAAGAAATACCACTAGGAACAATATTATTCCACCTGGCTGGTGGAGACCATAAGATGTAGCCATTCTTTTTTTTTTCAGTATGTTGGGCTTTTTCCATTGCACCCCTTTATCATTTTTATCATTATTTTAAAGGTTTTCAATAGCATGAAACTAGGATTAATGACACATTCTCAGTCGGCAGTGCATCTTTACCCACATTAGTATAGCAATGGACAGTCAAGGAACAAGTGTCTCCACAAATCCCAGCCACTGTGCCTCTGCACTGACCTGAAAAAGCCACCTGGAGAGGTGAGGATAGGATAGGATAGGTGCCATGTCTATATAGTCTTCTGTCATCAAGCCTGACACAAGGTTGCTACCTACTATTAGTGGGACTGGTTTTGTGATGTGGCTACCTGCCCACTGGAAACTAGAGTAAGATCTATGGTCTGTATGAAATGAGTTTGGTGACGAGCTGTAAGATAACTATTAGTGATTGCACTCCTTAGCTGGCTTCCAACTGATAATATCAAACTGAAATGTTGTGTTCCAGGCCCAATTTTCTTTTTGTTTAATAATTTAATTGTTAATGTGCTATTATCCCAGGTTCCCACAAGACCCCCGATCCTCCGGAAAAAGTGCCCTTTTCTGGAGGCTCTTATTCCTACTTGAATAGGGGGCCAGTGTAGACGCTCTTTTCCGGCTTTTTTAAAAGCTGGAAAAAAGTGGCGGACATTTTTATTTAAATGCCACGGGGGATATTTAAATCCCCCGGGCATTTCCCTACTACGACTCATGAAATTTACATGCCCCTTCCGGAAAAGGGGCCAGTGTAGACGAGCCCTTAGTGATTGCACTGCTGAGGTGGCTTCCAACTGATAATATCAAACTGAAATGTTGTGTTCCAGGCCCAATTTTCTTTTTGTTTAATAATTTAATTGTTAATGTGCTATTATCCCAGGTTCCCACAAGACCTGATGTAGTGTTGGAGTCCAGACGACAACTAATGGCCGTTGAAGCAACAGTGACAGTTCCAGACCCTCCACTGAATGTGACCAATGGGACCAACACATGCATCCTTTTTTATGCCAGTAATTTCAGCCTCACAGCCAACAATTCAATTCATGTCGATTTGACAAATTTAACATTTGTGTCCCGTAAGGTGAACTTCACTTCATCTGTTTGTTCAGCCACCAATACAACGTGAGTAGGACAAAGTTCAGTACCATAAAGTGCAAGTGATTCTAACAGCTCATCAGAAATAGTGCAATTTCAACAGGCTAATACTACTTTAATTGTGTATCTGTAGGCCAACTTGACTTGTTGGAAAATGACAGAGACAACACCCCAGGAATTCTTTAATTTTGGGGGGGTTTTATGCCTGTTTTCCTTTTTGTCTTTTTCCTGATTTGATTATGAGAGTACAGTTAAAATGAGTTTTGGCTAGCACAGATGCCTTTACTTTCCCTAGTGCCTCTGAGCTGCTGTTTCTCAGCTTCTGTTCAATGTTGTATTCTTTCTGCATTACTGAAACAGCAATTGCATTGTAAGATTTCCCAACAGTGAAGCTGTGCAAATACCCGGTATTAATCCCGCTGTGAGTATGTTCATGGAACAAGGTCTCTTGTCAATGCATTCTCTGTTTTCTGTTCCTTTGAACCACATGCTGGAAGGAGATGAAGCATTTCTGTTAGAAATGTTTGTCATTTTTGTCCAGTTTACTGTATCTTTTTGCTGTTTAATTTTGTTGTATTTATGTATTAATTTGGAAATTTAAGTTTGATTTTAAGAAGCTGCAATGCCCTAATTTAAACTGACACATGGTAACATTTAATTGTTTTTACTCGTAGGTTGTCATTGGACTATACTGGGTTACTAGATGGACTCAACAGCCTAGAAATAAGGTATCCTTATGGGTTTTTTCCAGAAAACCTTTCTGCTTGAGGTATGAGTAATATACCTGTAAATTAAAACACAAAACAGAAGAGAATCAAATGTGAATGCCATTTTTAATTCACTATTTCTGCTCTGGAATAAGGTTGTAGTAAGTTGTAAAGTTATCTTGATATCTTTCAAAAATATTATGTTAACCAGTGTTTGTTTCTATGCCGACTCTTTTTATATTGTATAGAAGAATCATGAACCAATAAGATTGATAGATATAGTTATAGTGTAGGATGCACACAAAACTTTGAAGATCTATAACCCTTTTTAATGTCCACAGATAAGGTCTTCTCTTGATTAAAAAGAATGTGTGGCAAAAAATCACATTTAGAGGACATTGATTCATGAACTCTCTGTTGCTAGCAATGTCAAAAGTATACACATTTCCCATGCTGATTTTGGATTTATGAACCATCTACTTACATCTGTTGTAGGACCATCCAATAAACCAGAATAGGGATAGTGATGTAGAAGTAAATCTTATATATATAAAGTAGTTCTGTATCCGTCACTATGCTTGCAGTCTTATTATTCAGTAAACACTATCAGTGTATTCAGCATTCTACAAAATGAAACAAGAGTCAGTAATGGAATTTATAGTCTAATGGTCCAGTTCTTGTGAGAGGGTACCTGCTGTTGCACATTTAAATGTAATACAGGTTGAACCTCCCAAATCAGGGAGTCTCTGGTCTGGCAACATCCATGGTCCAGCAGGGCCAAAGAGCCTTGGAGACAGGAGCAATGCAGGGGCTGGGGAGCCTTGGCTGGGACAAGTGGCATCTGGGGAGGACCCGGTGTTATTGGAGCAAGGTGCCTGGGGAACCCCTCCCTGGCTGGGGAACCCCCAGCGTCAGCTGGGCCACGTGACTGGTAAGTCCCAGCCCCAGCCGGGGAATCCCTGGTTGCAGTGGGGCTGCCGATGGCCAGCTGGCCCTGGCCAGTCATCCTAAAGTGGCAGCAGGGCCCAGGGTGACTGGGTAGTCTCTGCGTGGGAAGCCGGGGCTGGCGGAAGCTGGCGACTTGAATCCACAGCAGCAGCAGCGGGGTGGCCCTTGCAGTGGGGCAGGGTGGTCAGGTGGCCCCAGCTGGGGAACCCTGGTACAATAGGGCCAGTAGCAGCTGGGTGTCCCCAGACAGGAACCCAGGGAATATTGTAGCAGCCGGGCTGGCAGCTGCCAAGCCTCACCATCCTCCCTGGGAACCCTGGGAGACCCTGGAACAGCAGGTGGAGAACCTGTGTCAGAGCCTGGGAGTGGTACAGCCAGCAGGGGAACACTGATTTCCCTTGGTCTGGCAAACTCTCTGATTTGGGACAGTTAAGGTCCAGAGGGTGCCAGAACAGGGGGTCCAACCTGTAATCACAAATAACTGGTCCAGAACAGGGGGTCCAACCTGTAATCATTTGTGATCACAAATAACTGGCTCAGTTGAAATTATTTAGTCAAAGATTAAAACAGCACTATGCGTCATACAGAAGGAAAGTATACTTTACCACCTTTAAGGAATGATGGCACCCGGTTCTCTTCTTTTATAATTGATGGAATTCTGAGACTGGTTCATTTCCAAGCACACTCCTAAAAACTTTTTTTCCTGTAAAGACTGTGAGAAAAAGAAAGTCCTTTATGGGGAGGGAAAAGTTACTTTCCCGCAAATGATTTCACTATATTTTCTTTTTGATTAGAGCTGTTGATTAGTTGCAATTAATGCATGTGATTAAGTCAAAAAATCAACTGTGATTAAAAAAGTATCACAATCACACTTTTAATCGCACTATTAAAAATACAATACCAATTGAAATTTATTACATATTTTGGATGTTTTTCTACATTTTCAAATATATTTATTTCAGTTACAGCACAGAATACAAAGCACACACCACTCACTTGATATTGGTATTTTTCATTGCAAATATTTGCACTGTCAAAATGATAAACAAAAGCAATAGTATTTTTCAGTTCACCTCATACAAGTACCATAGTGCAGTCTCTTTATTGTGAAAGCACAATTTACAAGTGTAGAGATGGGGGTTTTTTTGGTTACATAACTGTTCTCAAAAACAAAACAATGTAAAACTTCAGCACAGTGTTTCTCAAAGAGGTCCACGAAACCACTCTGAGCAACATGCTAACTGGCCGCTATGGTATGTTTATTTACCAACTTTGCAGCCCTGGAGCCTCACAGCTCCCATTTGGCTCCAGTTTGCCAGTTTCAGCCTAGAGAAACTGTGGGAAGTGGCATGATCCGGGCTGCTGCTTCCTGTGACTCTCCTTGGCTGCAAGCAGTGAACCAGAGCCAATGGGAGCCACAAGGCTCCGTGGCCACAGAGCTGATACATAAACACACCGGAGCAGCCAGTTAGCAGGTTTCTCAGGTTTTTCATGGACCACTTTAAGAAACACTGCTTTAGAGCCCACAAATCAGATATGGGTAACTTAGGCTAGTGAGTGGGCTTCATGAGTGGCCCTCCTTCATTTCAGTGAGCTGCAAGATTGTCATAAACAAGATGGTCCCCTCAGGATAGGGTAGTTTTGCTAAATCCAGTTGTGTGCCTAGAATTTGCAGAGTGTGCTGACTGGCCCATAGCAATGCTTTGACTGGATGCAGAGGGAACACATGGCTCTTACAGTAAGTGTTGTGTGTAATCAGCGCACACCTCACTTCACGGGCCCTTGCTTTAAGTGCATGTCATACAAGTAGGAAAAAAACTACATAGAAAGAAACCAGTGGAATCTAGAAACCCTGTGTGTGGACAACAGTAAACAGAATGTCTCGCAGACCACAGATAAGAAGCTTGATGGACCACATGTGGCCTATGGGCCACAGGATGCCTACCACTGCTACAAGTCCACTCACTCCTACTTCTTGTTCAGCCAATCACTTAGCCTAGGTCTACACTAGACCAGGCAGGTCGGCTTAAGTTACACCATCCAGCTATACAAAATGCATAGCTGGATTTGGCTTACCTTAAGTCAAGCTGCTGCAGCATCTACACTGTGAGAGGCCAACAGAAACACACGCTCCCATCGGCTTCCCTTACACCTCACAGAATGAAGAGTACAGGATGCCAGCAGGGGCTTCCCTTAGTATTTGAATTGGGAGTGTACACTAGATCTGCTAAGTCGAACGCTAGAAGATTGACCTCAGGAGGGTTGATCTTCTCTGTAATGTAGACAAACCCTCAGAGAAACAAGCTTATTTACATTTATTGCAGATAATGCTGCCCATGCAGCCTCTTATTTACAGTGTCATCTCAAAGTGAGAATAGTATTCACATTTGTAGCAGCATTGTACATTTGTAGCAGCATTGCAAGTAATTTACGTGCCAGATATGCTAAATATTTATATCCCCTTTGGTACTTTGGCCGCCATTCCAAGAGAATACACTTCAATGTTTATGGTGCATCTTAATTAAATTTGTGACTGAATTCCTTGGGGAAGAATTGTATGTCTCCTGCTCTGTTTTACCCAGATTTTTCCATATATTTCATGTTATAGCTGTCTTGGATGATGACCCAGCACACATTTACTTTAAGAACACTTTCACTGCAGATTTGACAGAACACAAAAAAAGTTATCAATGTGAATTTTCTAAAAATAGCTATAGCACTCCACCCAAGGCTTAAGAATCTGAAGTGTCTTCCAAAATCTTTGAAAGAGGAAGTGTGGAGCATTCTTTCAGAAATCTCAAAAAGCAACACTCCAATGCAGAAACTATAGAACCTAAATCACCAAAAAAGAAAATCAACCTTCTGCTAGTGGCATCTGAATCAGATGATGAAAATGAACATGCATTGGTCTGCACTGATTTGGTTCAGTATTGAGTAGAGCTCAGCATCTGAATCAGATGATGAAAATGAACATACATTGGTCTGCACTGATTTGGTCCAGTATTGAGTAGAGCTCATCACTAGCATGGATGCATATATTCTGGAGTGGTGGTTGAAGCATGAAGGGACATATGAATCCTTAGCACACATGGCACGTAAATATCTTGTGATGCCGGTTACAACAATGCCTTCTGAGTGCCTACTCTCAATTTCAAGTGACATTTTAAACAAGAAGTGGGCAGCATTATGTCTTGCAAATGTAAACAAACTTATTTGCCTGAGCATTTGGATGAACAAGAAGTAGGACTGAGTGGACTAAAGTTTTACATTGTTTTGTTTTTGAAGGCAGTTGTGTTTTGTACATAATTCTACATGCGTAAGTTCAGCTCATGATAAAAAGATTTCTCTACAATACCTGTAATGGGAGAATTAAAATACTATTTATTTTGTTTTTACAGTGGTAATATTTACAATAAAAAGAAATATAAAGGAGCACTGTAAAATTTTTATTCTGTGTAATTTAAATCAATATATTTGAAGATGTAGAAAACATCCAAAATATTTAAATAAATGGTATTCTTTTATATTTTTAAGAGTGCACTTAATCATGACTAAATTAATCACAATTAATTTTAATCACTTGAAAGCCCTATATTTGATCTCTCATTTTACCTAATTACTTATGAATTTTTTTTCTTTGGTACCTTAGTTTATCTAACTGATAAGCTAAAGAGATTTCTAACCCAGGTTTTATTTATAAGAACACGTTTCAACAATCCTTTCTAATGAGTTAAAAAGATATTTCAATGGGTCATTATTTTATAAATCACAGAAAACATCTGTGCTAACAAATGTTGCAGAACATTTGCAGAATGTGGCAGAACATAAATGGATTATAATCATAATCAATTACCTAGTCTTGTTTATTCTAACACACTTTTGTGGTGATAAACATATTTCTTAGTTTACAGAAATTCCTTTCCTGAGCATCAGAACTAGTAGAAAATCATATGCATGCCTTTATTTGATCACGCACTAATTCAGTTTAAGAATGAACACTATGAAGTCTTAGAATTCAGACATGATTTGGGGCAATACAGCAAGGATTATACTATAGTCAATATACAGAGACG